ACATTCACTTACACATACTTTGACTATAAACGTTCTACGTGCATTCATACACACTAATTATCGTCTTTGTCCATTGTAACCCTTATTGTATGCCAATACACATATATCTGTTTGTATATATATATATATATATATATATATATATATATATATATATATATATATATATATATATATATCGGTCTTTGTTGTTTTCCTCACATTTTCCTTTTGCACTTCTGTTGGCGGGCTCATACTCCGGGAGAGTCCGCCATGTTTGTAGTGGGCTATTTCAGGAGAGGCACGTTATTGTCCCACAACGCGTACAAACGGCCCGCTACATTATTAATTCAAAGACAGTGACGTTTGTAGAGAACTGATAAGAGTTATTTACAGAATTGCTAAAGATGAGAAATCACACTGATTTGCAGAATGCATTTAAGTAGAAACAACTCTTATGATGATGATGATGAGGAGGAGGAGGAGGGGGAGGAGGAGGGGGAGGAGGAAGAGGATGTTGATATATTCGTCGTGGTCAATTTTATCTCGTATCCAAGAATTTAATTTCTTCTTTGCTGATCGCTTCCTTTATGATGATGGCGTTGATGACTAAATTCGCCGCCAACATGCAGGTTCTGGACTAGAAGCTTCCAGTTTCTCCAAAACCTGTTCCCGTCATCCATTCTCTATCGCCGTTTGGCTTTGCAATAGTTGGTTGGAGGTGAATAAAAAACCAGAGCGGAAACAAGTACCGATGGCGTGAATTTGTTTACGGTGGATCTGAACTTACCCGAAAAGTGACCCACACACTTGATTTCATGACCTTCCTCTGCAACACACATGGCATGAGACATGCAGAATCCACTTATGAAACTGCAATTTGCTGCCGCTGACCCTGTTATAATAATGATGATAAACAGAAGTTAAGTGTTAATAGAATAGTGATCTGGAAAATTTATAAAAAAAAATGTAGGTCATTTTTTTTTCATATGGCGCGTTTCGTCGTTCAAGACTTCATCAGACTAAAGTGATGTTTACGTTGATGTGATTAAACATGCGCACATGAATGAGAGTGTAAGCTGAAATTTTAAATTATTATTTATTTTTTGTAAATATTTGTTTTGGGTATATCGTGTGGATTATCCCCACGCGGCTTTGCCAGTTGTGTCAAGAAGTCATTAGGTGGCGCTATCAAGCACCTATAAAAGCGGGGCACTTCTTGTCTTTTTCTCTCTTCTCTTCCCAGCATGCTGGAGTAAAAACATCAACCGGGAACTTCCCGGGCATGAGGATATCTTTCCCCTTAGCAGAGTGAAACTTCACACACACACACACACACACACACACACACACACACACACACACACACACACAAAAAAAAAAAAAAATACATACGTGTATTACCCACACAATTCCTAAGGTTCAAAGTCTTCTTACATTTGCATGCCTACTAGTGTATTTTTACTCTTTTTTTACTGTCATATAAAAACAAAAATATAACATATCACCTTGTTGAAATTCCTTCCATATCCTTATACCCGTCATTTCGATGTGAAAATGTTGCTGCCACCTATGTAAATGTTGCTGTCACCTAGTGCGACTTTTGGATAATAAGTGCGACATTACTGTAATTATTGAACAATATAATTCATGCCACTTTGACAGAAAATTTACCAGTAAAAATTCGTTCATCACCATATATGAACGCACAACTTTTAAAAAATTTAAAATCAAACTCAGCGTTGCTACTGCGCGCTCCAAAAACAATAACTCATTTCCAATAGCATTTTCGGATACAACAATACATATATTTTCGTTGTCCTCTTATTACTAAGAGAAAAACAAGAACAACATCTATTCTATACCTGAAGATGTCTGTAGGAACAGACGAAAGCTTGTAGTAAAAATAAGAACTAATACGGCAGAAATTTATATAAACAAGGATCATTTCATTCATAACGGATTCGGAGGTTTTGTATATTATTTGAATTGTTTGCGATGATGGATTTCTCGCCAATTAAATCATTAACCTTTGCATTAGTTTTTTGTGAATAATTCATGAATATATATATATATATATATATATATATATATATATATATATATATATATATAAAGGAATCACACACCTCCAATGCAGCAAAGAGATAGTTAGAGTAAGAACGAGGAAACGGTCTCGAGGAATGCCTGCATTGATCTCATGGACTTTTACTTGCGACCGAACACCAATCACTGGCTCTATGGGGAATGTACACCTGTTTCAACCAAGAGTTACAGGTTTCTGTGTGCATTTGGAAACAATGACGTCACATCTATTATTTTTTTCTTTCGTCACGTGACATTCTATGAAAGCAGATAGAGATTAGCAATCTTTCAAGGTCGGCTGGATAATCTTATAAGTAGACAAACATTACAATAGTTTGCCATAAGTATTATATACATGAGAACCTTGTCATCCGTGGAATTGCCAACTGTGATTTCACTTATCCGCTGATAACAAAATTTACATAGCTTCCGTTTTCAAAGCATTTATGAATTTTTAAAGATCGTAATTGACATGAAAGCATGAAGGGTGGGAGAAGATACTATTAGGACAGAACTTACGTTTGCATCTACCAATTTCAACTGAGTAATGACTAAGCCTAGCTACCAATCTAATTCATCTTCTTTTTCATTATGGGCCGTGTCCTTTCAGGGCGTAGGCGATCATGGCTCTCCACAACTTCCTGTCCCTTGTAGCGCTTAATAAACTTTGTCTTTCTGTTATTTCTCCTAAGCCCTGTTCTGCCATCCATTTACTCAAGCTCATTAAATATGTTAGGCGTTGTTTTCCTCTGTCTCTCTTGCTCTCTATCTGTCTCGTGAGTATCAGATTTTCCAAACCTTCTTTCCTCGTTATGTGCCCTAGTAACCTCAATTGTATCTTCTTGATGTTAAGTATGAGTTTCCTTTTTGTTTCCAAACTCTCCAAGACTTCGTCGTTACTCACATGTTCCGTTCACGGTATGCTCAGCATCCTTCTGTGGAACCACATTTCTGTTGCTTCAAGTTTCCTCTTCATTTTTGAGAAGAACGTTCAGCACCCATTGCCATACAGGAGGACAGATATCACATAGCAGTTTCCTTGTTTCAAACGAAATTTTCCCATTTCTCAGTACTCTAGCTTTTGGAATGTCTCCCTGGTTATCGTAATACGCCTTCGGATTTCAGTGTCGCTCTTTTTGTCCTTCCCAGATATTTAAATTTCCGCACTTGTTTGATTCTGGTATCTCCGATTTGCAATTCGCATTTTGGACTCATCTTTTTGCTAACAATCATGCATTCTGTCTTCTTGCAGTTGATGTCTAATCCTTTATGCTCGCCTTCCTTCACTGCCTTCTGTAATACCCTGCGTAAATTTGTAAAATCGGGGTACCAAAGTGGAAAGGTCATCAAAACAATTAGCATGTGTTACGGAGGTGGGAAAGTGATTGAAACCGTGATGTCAGGTCAGGACTGATATCATTGCGGGTAATTTTTTCTTTTTTTTTTCACAAAAATCTCTAGATGCCTCTCAGAAGCATCAGACCAGTTGTGTCGGCAGTATTCAATGCAGGGACGAAGGATAGACTTATAATAGTTTGCTATAAGTATTATACACATTATAACCTTATCATCCGCGGAATCGTCAACAGTGATCTGACTCATGTAAAAATAGGACAGGGTATAAGCAGCCAGATACTTTTTGGAATGACACAGATGTGCAAGATAGATTACCCCCCCCAAAAAAAAATCTGTGTAGCACGACACAGTGAACCAACTTTCTTAGTAGCAGACCGATCAATTGATTCGATGACGTTGTTCCATTTTATATCAGTGGGAAATGTTAGATCAAGAAGACGCAATGAGTTATGAATATCTCTACTATGTGTTTAGCGGAATTATACCCGCTCTTCAGGAGACTTGTTTTAATTCTTGTTAATCATTTCACCCCAAACAAGGTGAGGAAGTCACTGAGACGTGAAGATTTACTAAATTTGAGAAACCTTGTTTCTGGAGAGGGGACAATAAAAGAACAGGGTTCAACGAGACAGGTGGTGACGAATGGCGTTTCATTTTGAATCTTTGAAGATCGTACTTGACAAGAAAGCAAGAAGCAAGAGTTCCACAGGCTTGAAGTGCGATAGAAGAAACTATTAAAAAAGAACTTACGGTTACATTTAAACATTTCAACTATAAAATAATGAGACCTTGCCGCCAATTTATTAGTACACTTAAATTTATAAAGTCAAGGTACCAAGGAGGAAAGAAAAATAACCATGAAAATATTTATAGAAAAGGCCCAGGGAAGCTATGTTACAATGGTGGGAAAATGACTAAAGCTGAGATGCCAGGTCAGGACCAATAACATTGTAGATTCTTCCATGGATTTTTATCATGAATCTCTAAATACATAGACGAGGCACCAGACCAGATGTGACAGCAATATTCAATGCATGGACAAATGATAGATTTATAAATCTTACTTAAAGACATTGATGGCCATTATTATTTTTAGTTTTATTCTCCGAGGTCTCATGACATAAAATAATTGTTTTTATTTCGCAATTCCCCCATTTATTGACCCCCTCCCCGTTTATTAGATTTTCCCTAAGCATATTTATGACTTTTTTTCTGCTTTATCCACCCCATTCATTTTTATTTACGATCACCCCTTTTATTTGACACCGAGAATCGGAGTTAGAACATACTGAACAATTGTAACTTTTAATCGGAACTACTTAAATTAACTGGTCCGTTCGTAAAAGACAGGATATAATTTTTTTTAACAATTTTTGTAAATTAGCATTCACTGAATCTTCCTTTACCTACGATGTTTTTCAGAATCGAGAATCGAAAAATATTAATTTTTTTATGATTTTAAAATCATAAAATCTATTTAACGGGACGTTCATAATATAAATACACTGCCAAATCGATCCTTGATTTTTTAAAGAGTTACCTGTACTTTATTTTTATTTACAAATTTCAAATGTTTAAGGCCATGTTACGTTGAAGCACCGGTTCTCGTACAATCACCGAAGTTAAGCAACGTCGTGCCTGGTCATCACGTAGATGGATGACCGCGTAGGAATACCAGGTGCTGTAAGCGTGGGTGCTTTTATTTACAAATTTCAAAGGCTTATCAACTGAGGAAAAGAACAACATCAGCATTATGTAATTATCAAGTTTCAAGCTTGTCATTTATAAACAAAGTATAGATAACTCTTCAAAAACTCGGGAATCGATTTGACATTGCATTTATATTATGTACATGACTCCGCTTCTAAATTTCTTTTAATCATTTCGCCCCAAGCAAGGCAATAAAGCCACTAAGACGCAAGAGGTTAGTGAGTGTCAAAGAATATGAGAAAAAGAAAAACATTAAGGTGAGAGAACAGTAAAAGAACAGAAATTAAGAAAACAGAAGATAACGATTGACATTGCATTTAATTTTTTGAAGATCATATTTAACTGGAAAGCAAGAAATCGGAAGAGAGTTCCACAAGCGAGAAGTGCGATAGAAGAAACTGTTAGCATAGAACTTACGGTTACATTTAGCCATTTCAAGTGTAAAGTGATGAGACTTTGTCGTCAATCTGGTAGTGCACAAATTCATAATCTAGGTCTTCATCAGAACAATTACCATGAAAGTATTTATAGAAAAGAAAAGGCTATTTAGCCGGTCCCGGTAAAACAGACAAACCTATTTTTAAGCTTATTTTAACGGTTTCGGTAAAATAGAACGCCCAGGCTATTTTGCCGGTAAAATTTTGTATTATTGTGAAGGGCGGTAATGGTAAAAATAACAACAGACAGATTTAACACAGAAGTTTATTTATTTTTACCATCAGTTGTTAAGACAATTTAAAATCTTTTCCATCATCAATTGTTAAGACAAATTAAAATCATTTATGCATCATCAATTATAAAAAGAAATATAAAAGTCTCTAAATATTTTAAATACTTGAGGCATATTAGTCTCTGCAAATCTAAAACTTGCCCTTGGGCATGGTTTTCTTGGTTCAGCACCCACTGAAGACAACAGTTCACAGACCACAGAATCGATGTTGTTCAAGTCCTGCCTACACAGCCCACACAACCAATATGCTGACGATTTCAAAGATAATATATTCTTAGTTCTAAAACACGACTTATATTTACCGACAAAATAGCCTTGGTGTCTATTTTACCAGCATCGGCAAAATAATACACTCGGTATCTATTTTACTAGCATCGGCAAAATAACTTTGGTGTATTTTTACTAGCATCGGCAAAATAGCCTTGGTGTCTGTTTTAGCAGCATCGGCAAAATGGTTTTGGTGACTATTTTACCAGTATCGGCAAAATAGCCTTGGTATCTATTTTACTAGCACCGGCAAAATAGCCTTGGTGTCTATTTTACCAGCATCGGCAAAATAGTTTTGATGTTTATTTTATCAACCTTGGCAAAATAGCCTATTAAAGGCACATTACGGTTAAAAATAAATTGATTCAGAGAAATATTGTGAGCAAAAGCACTAAAGAAAAAAGAAAAAATATCTTTTCTTTTTGTTTCTTTTTTTATTTATTTTTTTTAACGAGCGGACCAGCTTATTTAATTAGTGACTTTTAATCTTTCAAGGGTTTGAAAAATTTAAGATTTTTCTGCTGCAGTCTCTTCCGTGAATAAAATCAGCGCATGTAACTTGTGAAGATCACGAACAGCTTTCGTTATTTCCGTGTATAAAATAGCATAGTAATTCATTTACATGTCTCATTATTTCCTGGTGAGTCACTCATTCATATTCAGGCGTGTCTTTCTCATTATCTTCGTTGCTTTATTTGCGTAGTTTCGATATAATTATTTATATTTATATAGTTTATCGTCTAAACGTTTATGTTATTATCAAGAGAAAAGACCAAAATATTTTTTGATTATTTTTTTTTACATTTTTTTATCCTTCCTAGCACGTCCAAAATTTTAGTTAAAAATTAAATTAAATTTAGTTAAAATCTTGCTTTTTTTGAGTCAGCAAAATTGCCATAAAATCAATCATGTCAGCCATTTTTGACAACTTTGTAAACAAAAGTGAAATTCTCTGTTTAAAAATCTTGTAAAATTCAATTATATTTTTTTGAAAATTAGAAAATTTAAAGTTTACTTAATGCAATTGGAAACAAACATTACTTAATTTTTTAGCAGAAAAAATTTAGTTGAAGCATGTCTAACCGTGGTGATTGGTTTTGGAGGTGTGAATTGACGTTTTCGACAACTAACGTCAGGCCAATATATCGGACGGAAGGACAGAAGTGGCAGTATTTTCGAATCTTGTGAACCAGCTTATTTAACTAAAAAGTAATTTTTTAAAATTAAATACTTTCAAAAGTTTAATATTTTATTGAATTTTTAGGTACTTTTTTAACGAAGATATGTCCAAAGCCTGAATCACTGTTTTCGTCCCTAAAATTGAATCTAAAAAAGAAAATAATTAATAATTACAGTATGTCTCTCACTGAAAAACAATAATTTAATTATATTTAAAATAAATGAAATTAAAATATTTAATGAAATAGGATGTGAAAAAGAAAATTAAAAATTTTGAAAATGTGACAATGATGGTCAGTCAGAGAATTTGATACGTACTAGCCAGGAAAGCAAATTTCTCAAGGTCTTCCTCTTAAAATGTTTTTAATAAATTTTTTGCATATTAAAAAATACTATCGTATCGCAGATTGTAATAAGCTTTCAAATTTATGATCTGTAAAAATAAATATTTTAATAACAGCATTTCCAAAAATACACACATTCAAACTTAATTTTAAAATATTTAACAAATTTATCACATTTTGTATTTAAATTGGAAAAAAGAAAACATTTCTTGTAAAAATTCATTTTTCCTCGGAAAAATATTTTGGCTACAGACAGTATTGTCCTTAATTATTCATAAAAACCATTTAAAAGTATTAGTTTTATTGGGTTTTGTATTTTACAATTCAGAGTTGAATTTTGGATAATATCGAGTTGAAATTTGAAAAAATTGATGATTTATATTCTTCAAAGTCTTCTGCTTTTAAAACTGATATAATCACAAAATTACACAGAAGTCGAATTTTCGAGTTTTCATAAAATTAAGTAAGTGGGGGTAACAGATGCAAAAAAAATACTTTTACCATGACTTTCTAAAAACCATACATTTCTAAAATAATTTCGTTCATTTGTGAATAAGTTCTGAAAGTTTCACTAAAATCCGACAAATATTTGATTTTTGCAAGAATTTCCAATTTAATGTGTTTTTCAATTGAAAAAAGGCGCTAAAAAAACTAATGGTAAATATTATGTGACCGCTGATATAAAAAAAAAAATTAATCAAATTTTTGAACACGCTTGAAAGAATTAAAATTTTTTAAAAAATAATTGAAAAATATTTTGATTATTCTTCTTGATAATAACAAACATTTTGACGAAAAAAACTTTATTTTTATTAAGTTTGAGGCCTTTTTCATTGCGTTACGGACGCTGTTTTTTCGGCTAATTATTGAAGATACCTAGAAAAATATGATAAAATTAAACAGACAGATCTTGTTAAGGTTCCTTTTAGTCAAACTTTTATATATATATATATATATATATACGCTACAGAAAACACCACATTGGTTTTTTGATAATGACTGAGATGGTAAAAAGTACTTGAACAAAAATAACAATATGAACTTTGGGCAGTTTATCTACAACTTCGAGCACAATACTAAACACACACACACACACATATATATATATATATATATATATATATATATATATATATATATATATATATATATATATATATATATATATCGCGCTTGTAGACCGAATACCACAAATAAATACAGAACGTTCCAAACGAAGGTGACAGCTCGAATGTTGGAAATATTATCGTCTCTCTCTCGTGGCCAACGCCCACATCGTATGACTCTCAACCAGTACTCTTCACGGTGAGATCGGGCAGGCGCAAGTTTGCACGCGAGATAAACAAAATGGACAATAGGAACGTATTTTTTCCGTTTTCATTATTGACGTACACGAACTTATTTTATCATTCGGGTGGGGTTGAAACGAGAACGAAAGTGGATACTTATTCTATTTTGGCTGTTGTCGACAACACTACAGTTTCCGTGACACCGTCAGATGACATCCCCTGATACCTAATGTACGCTTTGACCAAAGCATTTTTTAGGCATTCATAAACTATTATATAGTGCTCCTGCATTTTTCTCTTTTCAATTTTCTCTTACTATGTATCGAGCATCCATATTTTCTGCTTTTTACGGCAAGCTCTCAAGAAACCGTTGTTGAAGTGTCAACAAGTAGAACTCGTGGTAAAGTCGCGATCTGAAATATGAGGTTTGTGAGTGTTTCACAAAAGAAGAGAGATTTGATTTTTTGATAGAAAAAAAAATCAATGTATTTGATGATTGAAAAACATTGATATTATCTCTTAGCATCATTTTTTTCTTTCGAGCGGAAATCCACACATCCATACGAGAGAGGCGCTGAAAAGTTTTCAAATAGATTCTTCCCTTAGAAAAAAAAGTTGATGGTAGGAATTTAAGAAGTGGTTCTTGGTTCTTATCGAAAATTTTGCGGCACATTCACACACATATATATAAGTACCGAAAAGGGCATTTTAAAATGATAAATATTTCCTGAAGCTTTTATTTTACGTTTAATTTCAAGCTAACATCAAATTTAATATTTCCAATAAACAAAATACTTCGTTGTATTTCTAATCGAAAATCGCTAATATCGTCTATACTGACAAATCCGTCAACACAGCGTAATTCTCTTTATTAAAAATCTTTCAAAAATAAAATATATTTTCTGAAACTTTTTTTTTTTTGAGAAAGAATAAAAACTGACTTAAATTTTAATCAATCGGAATTAAAACAAATATTACTTGATTTTGGTTTAAAATATCGCAGAAAAGCATTTTTTTTTTTTTTTAATACGGAGCCGGCTGTTTTTATGAAGTGTTGACATATTTTTGGATAACCGGATATTTGCGAGATTTATGTCAGTGGGGAAATAACTGTAGTAAACTTGCATGACGAATACAACGTAAACGCAGTTTTTATATAATTTTTAACT